CTGCTGAAAGTGAGGATATTTATTTCAAATTGTCTGTCCATAGACCTAGGGTCTGTTCTTCTGTTTGTCTGTGCGTCTGTATTTCTGTCGGTCTGTAACACTTTTGTTTCCACGCAATATCTGAAAAGCTTCTTCCATGAAATTATATACAACTCCCTAAGGCCTTAGAAAGAACACCTTTGATTTTGATATCAAAAGCTTAAATGTCAAGGTCATAAATTCAAAGATGATCTCTGTTTTAACATTTTCGTTTCCGCGCGTTATCTTAAGAAACCTTCGGGCTTTTCCGGTGACATTTTATAGCACAACTCCTTGTGACCTTAAGAAAAGCTCTGTTTCAACGAATGTCAGAGGTCAAGTCGTAAATTCATGCATTATATGTGTGTAAAAATATCATTTCTGGGCGATATTTTAATAGCTTTTGAGTTTTTGTAATTGAATTTTATACCAAAATTCCTTATGGCCCCGCCTGCCCTTATTCAATGTACCCCCTCGACCCTAACCCATCTAGATCCGCACGCATGATCTCTTTTTCCTTAAAGGGCCAGGGGTTCACATTCTCTGAAATTCTCTGAGTTTGTTTAGAATCGTGACAACAAATGATATATCAATACTGTTGTTTATATGGAATTTTAACTCCATACTTAATTCTAACATTACGAAAGCCGGATAGGTTCATTTCTGAGAAGATAAAAAAAAATTTAACTCGTTGTAACGAGTTAATTATCTCGTTATAACGAGTTAGTATCTCGTTATAACGAGTTAATTATCTCGTTATAACGAGTTAATTATCTCGTTATAACGAGTTAGTTATCTCGTTATAACGAGTTAGTATCACGTTATAATGACTTAGTTATCTCGTTATAACGAGTTAGTTTTCTCGTTATAACGAATTAGTATCTCGTAATAACGAGTTAGTTATCTCGTTATAACGAGTTAATTATCTCGTTATAACGAGTTAGTATCACGTTATAACGACTTAGTTATCTCGTTATAACGAGTTAGTTTTCTCGTTATAACGAGTTAGTATCTCGTTATAACGAGTTAATTATCTAGTTATAACGAGTTAGTTACCTCGTTATAACGAATTAATTATCTCGTTATAATGAGTTAATATCTCGTTATAACGATTTAGTTATCTCGTTATAACGACTTAGTTTTCTCGTTATAACGAGTTAATTATCTCGTCATAACGAGTTAATTTTTCTCGTTATAACGAGTTAAACACTGGTCTTAAGTTGATATATTTAAATGATAGGAAGTATAGCATATAAAACTACGGAAACGTATAACCGCCTCGTGTTGTTGTTTTAGAACACGATTTGATGATATAAAAATGTTGCCAAATACAATTACTTCAAGGTTTGGCGATTTAATTATGACAACAATCTCTGATGAATAATACTTTTCTGATATGTTTTAGACGACCTATACACTTTGATATATCCAAGTTGAATTTCTAAATGTCGCACTAAAATAATGTATAAAAATTAATCCGCTTAAATTAAATATCGCAGGCATTAGTGCAATATACTTTATATGAAGACTTCGCTTAGACGAATCGATTTAATCAAAGAGCAAAATTCAACAAAATTTGAACGACATGTAACGTAAGATTTATACAAGATACAAGATTTTATCAGTCCAATTTGGGCCCCTGAAGGAGCAAAAAAGATTTACAAACAAAAGAAGGAGGAGGATCCAATTGATAGAATATTCATGACATTGAGAGCAATTAATAAAAACGTATATTAGAGATATACTCAATATACATAAATGTATCGTATATGTTATAATAAAATTATAGTCAAAGGCAAGAAACTGTGAAAAAAGTACATTACACTAACAAGTGATCTAAGGATGCCAGGGTCTTCATTAGTCATGAGCCAAAAAATTGATTATCATAAGCTAGAGACTGAATATTTTTACATTTAATTTTACGAATATTTATGAGTTCAAGTCTTTGTATTGAAGATGAGGACATACAAGGAGAAAATGAATTTCATCCTAAATAGAACGTATTGCACTGAATGGATGTCTGATTTAAATAAAATAATTAAAATAGTTATAGTAACCTTGCAGGCTCTTCCCTAAATAATAAATCTCATGAATGTTGCTTCAATATTTTGGTAATACTTGTACTATTCAAACTATGATAACGAAATCTTTAATCATGTTCTTAGCTTGGAGAACATATGCAGAAATATAAGCATTAAATATTTTCGCCTGATTTGATGTCATGCATTATTAAATATGTCCTCAAACTATTGAAAATTCAAAATTACAAGAGAAAGTGGTATATTTTTTTTTTTTGATAATTCAGTTGGAAATAATCGAGCACACGTCTGCACATACTCTTATGTATTTTTAATCATGATGTGTAGATTGATAAAATGAACGAAATGATTTGCATTTTGTCCTCTTTTTTTCTAAAGATAACACACAAGCTCATTAGTTAGTGCTGTCACAGACACAATTTTCCCCCCAATCGTGCTTTGATTTATTTGATAAATTCAGATTTATGTTATAACTTAAACAAACATATATTATGAAGTTATTCTTTGACTACATTTAAAAAGCACATATATAAACAATATATAAGCAATTATAACACTTTAAAAACTGCTAATTTATTTCTTTTAATTCTGAGAAAAAAATCATTGCGACAGTGTTCAATTTTAGTTTTTTATTTTCAATTAAATCAATTTCGGAGAATAAAAATCAGGCCCGTAGCTACAGTTTTCAAAGAGTGACTCGGGTCCCTAAAAAAGCACACACCCATCGATTTAATACAATAGTTATTATTAATAAAATGATGTTACAAGACGTTCTAATTTTATTGAATTTTGCTCTTTGATTAAATCGAGTCGTCTAAGCGAAGTCTTCATATATCTTATATTGCACTAATTTCTGCGGTATTTAATTTTAGCGACATAATTTTTACACATTATATTAGTGCAACATTTAGGAATTCAACTTGGATATATCAAAGTGTATAAGTCGTCTAAAATATATCAGAAAAGTATTATTCATCAGAGATTGTTGGCATAATTAAATCGCCAAACCTTGAAGTAATTGTTTTTGACAACATCTTTATATCATAATATCGTGTTCTAATACAACAACACGAGGCGGTTATACGTTTCCGTATAAAAGACCGAAGACAAATACATGTATACGGAAACTTATGACTGCCTCGAATTTTACGCCCATGACCTAACTGCTGATGTTTCCATATCCCCCTTCCTCAAAACATTTTTGTGTATATAATATATGTTGCATTAATGCCTGCGTTAGGCTGCTATTATAATGTATTAATTTAGATTCTTAGACATTGATTATGAAAGCTAATAAATCATCCAAAACATATTTTAAAAAATGTCTTTTATCGGAGAAAGTTGTCATACCATAAATTGCCAAACTTTGAAGCAAGTACATTTGGCAATATATTTTTTTTAATATTATGTCCTTGGACACGTTCACGTATAAATGTGTAAATGTGTTCAAATAAAGATTGCTATACTTATCAACCTGTGATTATTGACAGCCAGATAGTTCAGAATTAATATTATTTAAACCATATCACAAATTAAATTTGCAACTATATATCAATTTTAAAGTTACGTACGACTGATAATTATAAACTAAACATCAATGGCATTGAAACTACAGCCATTTCTAATTCCTATATTGCTATTAAATTTGGAAATAAAGGGGAAACTTATCATTTCGTTATAACGAGATAATTATCTCGTTATAACGAAATAACTAACTCGTTATAACGAGATAATTAACTTGTTATAACGAGATAATTAATTCGTTATAACGAGATAACTAAATCGTTATAACGAGAAAACTAATTCGTTATAACGAGTTATTTATCTCGTTATAACGAGATAATTAACTCTTTATAACGAGATAATTAACTCGTTATAACGAGATAATTAATTCGTTATAACGAGATAACTAAATCGTTATAACGAGATAACTAATTCGTTAAAACGAGTTATTTATCTCGTTATAACGAGGTAATTAACTCGTTATAGCGAGATAATTGACTCGTTATAACGAGATAATTAACTCGTTATAACGAGATAATTAACTCGTTATAACGAAATAACTAACTCGTTATAACGAGATACTAACTCGTTATAACGAGATAAGTAAATTCGTAATAACGAGATAAAACTACGTCGTTATAACGAGATAATTAACTCGTTATAACGAGATACTAACTCGTTATAACGAGACAACTAACTCGTTATAACGAGATACTAACTCGTTATAACGAGATAATTAACTCGTTATAACGAGTTAAATATTTTTTTATCTTTTCAGAAATGAGCCTATCCGGCTTTCGTATAAAATGAACAAAGAAGTTTCTATTATATTAAAATTAAAAACTTAATAAATATTGTAATAAAATCTTATTTGCAGTGTCTTAAATTAACAACATCTACATAGCCTATTCAACATAATTAACTGAAACATGACAGATAAAGTGATCGAGGAAAGTTTTTTATATATATCATACACGCTCTCAATCCAAAATAAAAGTAAACATACCATCTTTAGATGTATTATCTTTGTAACAAACTTCGCCCGTTTCCTCATTTGTTTCGCTAGTTTTCCATATTCCAACATTTGTAATAAGATTTCCATTGCTTGAATAAATCCAAGTTCTTGCGATTGCTGTTACTGAAATAAACACAACAAAGTTGATTGAAGCCCACAAAAGAGCAATAAAATTTTTGGGACCATTCTTTTTCCGTTTCTGATTTAGATAGAACGGTATGATAAATACAATAATTTCAACTATCATCTTCCCTAAAAATTTATATTTTTGCGATTTCCGATTCTGAATTATTTGACGAAATTGAGATCTTTAAAGTCGCGTGGATTTGAGTTGGCATTAAAAAAATCGTTTATGCACTATTTCACAACGGTACACATAATTAGTAACTTGAGGTTTTTGGTTTTAAACATTTTCTAGCTGGATCATGGCGATAGCATTACATTCCGATGAAGAGAATTCCGGTAGGTTTGGCATTTTTCATGTTTCCTTAAAATAAAATTCTTATCAGTTTAAGGAATTCAAATTTATAAATTTATGACAGAGCATATTTAAAATGATACATTTTAAAAAAGCATTTACTGCTTGAAATTGATTTAAATAATTATGAAATGATAAACAGCAAAAAATCTGATACGCAAAAGGATATCTCGAGTAATTATATTGATTGATTGTATGTTGTTTAACGTCCCCCTCGAGAAATTTTCACTCATATGAAGACGCCCGCGTAATTAAAAGTTGAAACAAAGGTTAGATTTGATGTATATTTTCATTAAAAGACTTCATATGGGCAAACCTGATATTCAACAACAATAGGGAAATATTTGTTGAACGTCAAAGCATTAAAAATATTATTGGTTTTAAAAACTTTCCATTGTCGGATTTTTCATAGTGTGTGTTCTGTTCTGCAAAATCTTCCAAATTTTGAATTGCTAATCGACAAAATGTTTTTTATGTTAATTAGCCATAGGTGATATAAATACATATACCATGCTATGAGCGACATAATCATTATTTACATGTATTTGAAAATATGATATTAAAAATCTACTTGATAAACGAATAACTCACGACAAATTTGGTTATTGGTGTCAATTATCAATTAAGTCTTTCAATACAAATATATCATATATACATGTATCAATATTTGTCAACATTATGGAGAGTTGGTATAGGGACATCGTGACACAACACAAAATACAGTAACGAGGCAAAATGCAATAAACTGACAACCTTTGTTATTACATTTCGCATCGAGATCAAAAAAGTAAAAGCACATTTTTTTTTGATTATTATATTTTGTGATTTTGTTTTGTAACATTCTGTGTCAACGTAAACACAGCTGGAATGTTTCATTGCAGAAAGTTAATCACAATTTTTATTTCTACAAATAAATACAGATATCAGCTATTAAAAAAGAAAATAAGTTAAGTAATATTAAATCAATACACTTACTTTGCTTACACTTTGATTCCATATTTTTACATGGTATTATTAGCCATAGTATCTTACAAAAAAGTTTTTGCCAAATTTGTCTCGAGAAGGTTTTAAATTTTTTTTTTACATTATTACCCCTTGAACATATATATTTTGAGAACATTTAAAGTGACTTTACATTAAAATGTTCACATATCTTTTTTAGAACATTGTATAATTAAAAAGCAAAATTACAAATATTGTTTTTGGTTTTTTCTCTGTCTTTAATTTGTAGAATCGTTTTGTGAGCTCTTAAAAAAACAAAAGAAAAAAGTAGCATCTACACTTTTGCAAGCAACCCTTATTCTCTTAGCGATAGTCATAGGACATGATGATTGGTCTACAAATCAGATGGGTAGACAGGGCCTTTGGCATCACTGCGCAGAAAATGGAAGTTACTACTGTTGCAACACCATGGAATCTTTTACGTCAAGAATGACAAGCTCAGAAAATTATACTCCAGGTAATGATACGAGTACTAGTAGATTTAAGGTGATACATGTTTTTGTGTATTTTCTGCTTTTATGCCACCAGAAATCGAAGATTCTAGAACATATAGTTTTTGTCCTGTTCGTTAGTCTGTTTCTGTTTGTCATTCGACAAAAAGCATAATTTTTGATTGGTTAAAGTATGACTTTCGTATTTCACTTGTATATTTCTGATTCGAAATGGAAGAGCGTGTTTCACGTATGAATAATTTCTAAAACGAGGTCAGTTATTGACAAACAAGTTAATGAAGCAAGAATATCAACAGTCTGGTTTAAATTAATTTCTTTAGTTCTGTGACCGATACAATTGCCTTGTTAGAAAAAAAAAATATGAATTGAATTGAACATATTTTATTGACAAAGTGTCAAAAGGATTAGACACAAGTTAAAAATAACTTAGATAGTCTTCTCCTAATACTAAATTTTGTGAAATTGCCAAAAAAATAAACTAGAGGTATTGTGAGCAGTGAGCTCACTAAATGATACCCCCCCCCCCCTCGCATATGGTTATAATGGCCCTGTTCTGCTGTAGCCGGGAAACAAAATATCTGTGTCGAATCAAAAAGTAAAATATGATGTGCACAAAGGCTATATGTAATAAAGATTCTGTGAAACTTTCATTAAATTTCACTCACTGGTATTAGAGTAGTTGCGGAATAGAGATGGGTACCCCAATTAAGCGTTACAGACAGACGGACGTACAGAGGGACGGACGGACATACCGATCCCTATATACCCTCCCGCTTTTCAAGCTGGGGTATAAATACATTTAAACAATTTATCATTAACTCAAATGGTGACTGACTTTTCCATACTGATTGTTTGACCATTACTTACTGATAAGTTGTCCTCGGATTTTCCCCTTTTGTTTTTACCAGAGCATGAAGAGAAGCACCCGGCGAGTGTGACCGGTCGGCAGGGGATGCTCACTGCTCCTTGGTACATGATACCAACTTTGATGTTTTGGAGGTCCGTTTTTGCTCTGCTATTTTGTAATGTGTAATAGACTTTGTGTTCGTTATCTCGACAAATTTCATTGTGAAAAGTCATTGCTTTGGGTACAGACACATAATGACTTCTTGACCACCTTGACCTTGGAGTTTGACTCTCTTTTGAAAATACTACCAAACTTTAACCTTGGTCACAAATTTTGAACAGTTGGTGCTAGGGCTTGCACACTTTACATGTGTATTTTCGTGATAAGACCTATCCTTGACTAAAACTCTAAACAATAGAGTTTTATCCACTTTTACAAAACCTCGGATATAAAAGTAACTCTTAAACATTAAGTACAAGGGCTTTCATAATTCAAAAGTGTATACCATGTGTTCAGACCTTCCTTTGAATACTAGCAATTTTGTTCTTTTTTCTTGACCTTGTGTTTGACCTACTTTTGAAAAGTTTAATTTGACTATAACTTTTGAACAGTTGGTGATAGAGCTTTTAAATTCCATGTGTATTTCGTGTGATAGGACTTTCCCTTTGGTACAATTAATTTTTACCCTTTGAACTTGTTTTAAATGGTTTCGTCATTCATATTCCAAAGGTATACCGGCATGTGTTTCATTGGGATAAGTTCTTTCCTTGGGTACCAACATTTTTGATAAATTTACCTTGATCATAGAGTTTGACTTGCATCTGAGAAACTTTAACAATACGGCGGCATAAGTGTTTTACAAACAAATCTTGTTTCCTATAAAGTAGTTACTATGACTATGATTTATCTTTACATGTATATATGTTATGTATTTTGAAATAAGCTGTAGAGGCAAAGACAGAGAGTAACACACACACACATATGACGTCCCTTGGCTGCAGTAAAAAGAGTTAATTTTTATCAATTAATTTACCTTTTCTAATAGATTTGTGGAACATTTTTATCTCCCTTTTTATAAAAAGTTTTTTTTCTTCATATTTTAAAGTTTTAACTCTTTTTTAAGAGTATTGAACATTCGTTATTTTTCAACATAAATATCTTTTTAGTGTAAATTCCTTTTTAATAAAAGTTAAATTTTTTACTTTATCTTTTTTTTTTAAATCAGTTTGGTTAAATGCAGTTAGAGTTCTTCTGATCCTGGCATTTTCCCTAATTTTCATCGTACTGATTGTGATAATAGCGGAAGCAAAGTTGGAGCGTTGCAAAAAACGTCAGTCCATAATTACTACAAATGTTGCAATCGTTATATGCTGTAGTCTTTCAGGTAACTCATATCTTTTTTTAACTTGTTTGACCATTGAAAAAAGCTTTTTATATTTCTGCATTCATAAACCCAAATATATATTAAGTGAATATGATTATTAATTTTTTCTTCAAAAATTTAAATTTTGAATGTATAAAGTTTATCACTGACACAAACAATGACTTAATATTATTATGTTTTACAGCAATATTGACTGTGTCTGGAGCCTCAGTATACCTAGAAAATTTTAACCAATTTACCCGGACAGCGAACTATTCACTTAAACGTCCCTGCTTTTTTCTCTGCTGGATATCTTTTGTTACTACAATTGCCGCAGCTATAGTGATTGCGTACAACACACAGAAACACCGTAAGTTTCTCATGACTAATTTGTTTTCATCGATATTCACTAGTACCATGTAGGCCTACTGTCTAAATTCATTTAATTTTTTCTTTAAAAAATAGACATTGCTATTAGAATTACATGAAAATAAAAGAAAAAATTTCCTCATTATGGACACGAATTCAAGTTTTCCCCAAAAAAGTAGATTTAAAAAAAGAACTTTTTTAAAAAGAAAAGTATGACTCCAAAAATATCAATATCTATATTTATAGTTATTTACAGTTATATTATAATTTGAGTTTCATTTTCAACAGTAAATGAAAAGATATTATTTTTACAATGAAACATGTAGAGATAACGAACAATATTCAAGATCAAAGTCCATACAACACTGCAAAATTGAAGCAGAACAAAAAAGGACCTCCAAAACATCAGTGGTGGGATCAGATGCCATGGATGAGTAAGCATCCCCTGCCGACCAGTCACACCCGCCATGTACTCCTTGTCATTATCGGGAAATAACGTGAAAATCCGCCGTCGATTCAGTGTGTAAATAATAGACTAGCAATTAGGATTAAAAACGTCAGTCATTATTTGACTCAATGATAAATTGTATTTGCTGACAAGGTTATTGTATCGACTATAGAACTTACGAAATGATGACTTTAAATGAGTCTGCTGATATTCTTGTTTTATCAGTTTGTTTAATTGTCAATGATTTACCTCGTTTTAGAAATTTTTCAAACGTAGAGCATTTTCTTGCGTATCGAATCAACCGAGATACATAAACTCCGTATACGGGTGATGAAGGTATATTGCTGCATAAGAAAGGGAAGTTGACTATTGGAAATTTAAAGTCATCATGTTTATCATAGAGCTAAGTTGTTAGATTATTATAAACTACTTTTTCAAGTAAAATATTCAAATATAAAACAGTTCAGACTCTGTGGTATCTTTTATCTCAAGCTCACCAGGATATATCATATCGACATAAGAATGGAAATAACAATTGTTAATTGACAATACGTCGTCGATATATTTAAATTTCGAGATGAAGGCCACAGCAATTTTTTTCCTTTTCACGCATAAGATTTTGCAAAATTCTTGGTCATACGATTACAAAAATAAGTCTGCTAATAACGGGGCGCAATTGGTAGAAATATCATTTTTAGCTCACCTGAGCCGAAAAGAATGACCCCCATAGAAAAATTACCTCCATACTTCTTGGGGTCATGGTTTTGAACAAACTTGATCCTACACCTCCTGAGGATGCTTCCTTTTAAGTATGCATGACCAATCATGGCATTGCTGTTCTTGAGAAGATTTTTAACGATTTTTACAATATATTCCTATGTAAAACTTTGATTGTCCATTGCGGGCCCACCCTACCCCCGGGGTCATAATTAGTACACATTTGTAATTTTATTAAATGAGAATGCTTCCATATAAATATGACCGATCATGGCTTTGCCTTTTTATAAAAAAAAAGATTTTTTTTAAATGTCTCATATATTCCAATGTAAAGCCTTGTTCGTCTATTATGGCCCTAATTTTCCCGGGAAACAATATTTGAACAAATTTGAATCTTCACTAACTTGTGGGGAGCCATGTTCTTTTTAACAGATTTGTTTGTTCGGATTGATTTTTGTTTTGGTTTTGAGATCAATCAGTTTTCGTTATCTAAAACCTTTTTTTTATTTGAATGGGTGTGGACTCCTCTACCTCTTCAGAAAAAAATTGGATCCGTGCATGGATGTGTGCATGATTTGATTTTAGCGCTTCAAATTCACGTTCTGAGCTTCAACGCTTTAGATCTATGAATGAACAGTTTTACATTTAATTTGACAGATAACGTGAACACTCAAATTGAGTCAAGGGACGAACATACACGGACACAGGGACTGAGTCGGGAGACACCATCTGCGCCATCTATGTCTACAGGTAAGAGATTTTCAATGTTAAGCTATGTCACTCGTCAGATTCTTAGAAAAGTTTAGGCAGAACCAATTACTTCAAAACTATTTTTTATAAATCATTTTTGTGACATTCTTAATTAAACATAGTAAATTATTCAACATTCAATGAAAATTGATCAAAAATTCATATCGAAGCAAAATTTATCAGGAACTATTCTGCAAATCTACACATTTTTTAATTTAATATCTAAGACCTTAAGCTTCGAATACCTTTACCCGGAGATATTTTTCCGTTATGATATGCTAGAAATATTAAATATGGGTCTAAATATATATTTTTAGAAACAAATATCACACCTTCCCTCAACGAGCTTTGCTGAGAAATGAAGATATATTAAAGAGGACAAGATAAAATTAATACCTTTTTTTCCTGAAAATCGCATATTTTGACAAATATTATTTACATCACTGACCTCGATTTTTCTTTCATTATTCTAAACCACTTCATACTTTTAACTGATCAGGACTTACATGTACATGTAACTTAAAAAGTTTGATACAAGAAAATATTCAATTGCATATTTAGATTTTTAATACCCCAAATATGCTACTATTTTGTATAAAAAAAATCACACAATAATTTACGCGCATTAATTTGCAATATGTGTTCAATGATAAATATAATTCCAACTATTTTCTGTAAAATAATATTATAATTATAGCCATTGTTACATCTGATAGAATGAAAAGTAGAAGTGATGAATAAAAGAGTTAAAATTTAAGTTCTAAAAGGTTAACTTAATTGTACCGTAGACAAGTAAGATGCACACTGACCCCCAGGTTTCTTATCCAACATATACTTAAAAAAAATATTTTATATAACAAATTTCACGAGTGACATACCTAAAAGTACCAGGGGTAAATTAATATACGAACATAAAACAAATAATGTGTGACCTTTTTTAAGCTTCCATCAATAAATCTAGAAAATAATATACAATTAACATTGATTTTAATAATTTTTGTTGCTCAAGATTCCAATAAAAGCAAAGTATTGATATACGGTACGGGTATTCAAATATATATTTGACTTTCATACATGTACTTCAATAAAGCATTTCACGGTAAGTTGATAGGAGGTCATCTATTTACCAGCATTTAATAGCTATATATCATTCAGTAAACTCATGCAGAAACGAAATCTTGTTAAGATGAAAAATGTTAACGTTTCAGTAGAATAGAAACATAGGAGATTGGTGAGTTAATTTTCAAAACGTTGTCAGAATTGAGTATGCTGCAAATGTCGTACAATGCGTTAGAGGCCTTTTGTTAAATTAAGGAGTATTCTAATGTTAACGGTTACAATCAACGTCCTCTGCTACGTTCCTTGTAAGGTTACCTTTTGAGGACTGAATTAAATATTAAATTATCTATTTAAGTTATTTTTACTGTACCAAGAATTTAACTTTGCAATAAATATAAATATACATATCCATACTGGGAGGCCAATTTGTCATTGAATAATATATAAGTTTCATGTATTATATGTAAGATTGTACATCCCTACATTGTGCCTCATTAGCTGCAAACCCGTAGGGACCCCCGGTAATTTTATCCTTTTGAGATAAGAGAACTAGCATCATTTTATCTACTGCTATTGTGAAGACAAGACGGCCAATTAATTATTGTTTAAATATTTTTTGATTACCCACCTCCATTCCGAAACACGCCTTTTCTGTAGTTAAGGTCATCTCAGATTACTTGGATTAATACACATGTTTATCTTTTCAATGTAATATAATTTTTTTGAATATGTATATACTGTGTTGTTATATTATGGTATTTTTAGCCAATTCGGCTTATACGTAGCATTACGTATTTTGGAGGCCACCTATTTCGCCAATTTATATAATACAGTTTATGTAATTGTCACATACTTTGGGGACAATTTGTTGCATAGTTATTTAATATTATTTTTTCATGAATAGTGTTTAAATGTTACAATGTACAATGTTTTTTTTTTCTTCAGTTTTATGATTTATATATGTTGTCATTTCATAATAATGACATGATATGAATGAATACGTTTTTCTTCATGAAAATATGTAAGACTAAGTTCAGTTTGTTGACTGTCACATATATGTCTATTTTATTTTGAAGACATGATTTCTATTTCAGGAAATCCACACAATGTTGGACATCCAAGAAATCATTTGCCACCCATTGACAGGAGAGGAAACATTGTTTCGCATGGCCATCATGAAGAGATGCAATGAGAAGACATTGATTCACCACCACAGTCTTCTTAAGGTAAAAAAATGTTTAAGCTTCCAAATATTAAAAAAATAAAAATAACAGTTATTTGTTTTAGATCATGTAAAGTCCAATGTAATTAATTTATTGGTCAGAATTTTGGCAATAGATAAAAAACAGTTATTTGGTAGATTTAATTTATTCGAACTTTGAAATGAAAGTTGTAAGGACCCAAGTATCATGGATTCTACTCCGAAGTCAATCTTTGTACGGCGACAGTGCAAACATGTACGGTGTTAGGCTACTTGTAGATCCATTGTAAGTTCTAATGTAGATTTAGGTGTAGTATAATATTAATGTAAGAAAACATTGTTGATAGTGGCTAGACTTTCTGCAAGGCAAAAAAACTATGTTTTTATGTATGTGAGTAATCTTGCACCAACAACTTAACTGCTAGACCTAACTTGTCTCATGAAAATAATTTAAAAGGGGGGAGGGAGCTAACATCATACTTCGAAGTAGCCAGTACAATTAAATATTAATAAAAATTTCACTTCATTGAGGTATATGTATTTCTTTTTACTTTATTTCAAACGAATTTTTGCTCACCATCTTCACCATCATTCATTTTTAAGGCAAGATTTAAGGTGTCAAAACCGGAAGTTCTATAGAACAAAACACATTAACGTGAATAGGGCATAGGTTTATGTCGTTGCAATAATCATTTACACGTGAGAGATAAATAGAGGCCATGTATTTTGTGTGATTTGATAATTGCGTTTTCCAACGAGTTGAAATGGAATATACTCGTATTTACGAGGCTTTCCGAGCGGTTATACACCATTTCAACGGGTTGGATAAAGTCCATATCAAATCACAATTATAGACGTTTTATTCATCTCCAACAATTTTGGTTTTTAACAAAACATTTACCCCCTGTGAAACTATATAAATGGATTTTATTAAAACTGATATTAAATTGATGACGAGGCACTGCATTGTTGACGTTGACACGACGAAAGAAAGAAGATAAAGTAAAAAAATAATAATAAACCTTTGTTTCTAAACGTATGTGACAATCTGTTGGAGATTTATTTCAAACAAATTTTGACAGAAGGGCTTAAGGACTTAGAGATCATGAATTTTACTCTTATGTCAATCTAGCTTTTACAGTGGAAGTGTAAGCAGTACTAGGCTAGATATTGAAGATTCATAGTAATATACAAAAGAATTTTTACAAATCCAAGTTTTGATTTTAAATCTTGAGGCGATGCTAAGGAATTTTGTCAAAACCGAATAGCCTATTAATAATGTATCTACTCGTGGATAAAGCATAGGTTTATCTTACAGGTAGTATCATCCGCACATATGAAATACATGTAAAAGGCTGTTCGTAAACTATCATAGTACGAGGGCTATTCCATACATAATGTCCTGATCTCTGACATACAACACTGATATCATATGACCTTAAGCTTAACTTCCTCTCATGATTGAATCTTTAATGAATTGATATCAGTTTATGTGACCACTTTGCATATCATATTTTCATTGTCAGAAGCTAACATTGTAAGGGCTATTCGAGACATTGCGTTAAATATGAATGTTAAAGAATCAATAAACTAGAGTGAAATTAAACGCTTCATTTAAGCTGCTGTAAAACTTGATAAGAATCCAAAAGAAATATTCACTGAAATTTGTGAAATTTACAGCAACCAATGCCTGTTTTATAGGCACATGAGCAGGTGGATTTTAATGAACAATAATGATATAATAGGCATCAAAAATTGGCACCGCTCTTGGCGACATGGAATTAAAACAACCAATGTTCTGTTTGTCAAAATTCAAGAAATTATCACTGTTGATGTTTAATTGACTTTAAAACACAGCAAATTTAATTGTCATCTATTTTGGGGTAGTTTAACCTATTTTAAAGAATCTTTGACGGTAAAAAAGCTCAGTACTATGCATATGTTTTGAAAAATGAGTGAAAATGACACTTGAGGTGTAAGAATATCTAAACAATTATTTCAAAAAATTGAATCAAATATTGTAGTTATCCACGTCTGTCTGAAATTCAAACAGATAATGAAACTTGAACCCAGTGCTTTATAACCCTCAAAACGTTTTTACAATATGATGCACTTGACAAAAACAGCAAAGGTCTGAAAAGAGCAAAGAAATACAAGAGCACAAAAACAGTTTTATATGCCATTTTCTTAAATATTAGTGGTCTTGTTATTCAAATTCTTATTCGGGAAGGCAGTTCAATTTCTGGAGGAGTCTAGAAAGCAATTTTTTACAAAAAAATGAAAGGTTATTGAGATGAAGGAACTAGAATCAGGAATCCACTACATTAAATTTCTTCATGACTGCGTCCAAACCCACATGTCATGAAGATTAAAGGAGTTTTTGGGATAAACAGACAGGTAATATTTTGTCACACAATAATATTTGCCAGATCTGTCATCCTTTGACTTGGTTCATTTTCCACAATTGAAAAAAAAGAAGTGCTTTCAGAAAGAAGAAACAAGTCCAGGAAATCATAGGATCTGCCATATTAAAGTATTCAAAGGGCCATATTCAAAAATGAGATCTAATAACAATCAGAAATTGGATAGAATTATTACGGATATGTGTTTTAATTCAAGAGAATATTTAAGTTAAATCATTCAGACTAAATTATTGAAAAAGCGTCTTTTGCTTCTTTCCGAGCACCGAGGACATTATGAACAGCCATCGTATGTTAATCTAAACCACCTAGATATGACATCATTAAAGCATATGATGTCAAGTCACTACAAACTTCAGCTGATAAGAAGATTTCTAAAATTGCAATCATTTGGAATTTTTTAAGTTGACATTGAATTAGATAGTCTAGATCGTTGATTTAAGTTTCAATATGCTTTTATGATATGGGAAACTTGCAATATACTAGTATGAAGGAAATTGATATTTCTTTCTTTTGTGAGATATGGAATGTATTCATACAATAACTAAAAGTAAAAAGTGAAGTGCTCACCGAAACATGTCTGTGCACACAGGATTTAATTCTGTATATACAATGTATCTGGTAAAAGTGATTAATAAGAATAAACTGAAGACTATTTTGTTGAATTTACATGTATAAGAGATTTATGTCCTCTGACAGAGTCCTGCTGGGTGATTGTATATACATATATTTACATTTGCGAATATTTTTCTTAGATGAACCTATTGAAGAGAAAATATGTTCAATTCTGTGTGAATGTTATTTGGGGGTCAGAGGTCACAGCGAGACCGAATCACAAAGCGAGGTAATATTATGTCTACATATTTCTGTCACGGTGAACTTGTTTTGGAATATTTCTAAGTTAATATCGATGAAAAAGATAAAATGATAAGCAGTATGGATATGTTTCAATCGTGAGATGTACAATAAATCTTCTTTCCATGTGAATATGGTTTTGAATATACTATGAAATTAGCCGAAAAAATCGCACTTACTTTTTTTTTTAACTAAAATTCATTGAAGTTAGGCAAACTTCAACAGGCGATACCACCGCTTTTGACTTCAAATATTTTAAGAAGTTATGAAATAGTTAGATTATTCTCAGCAGCGATCATTGTTCTTTGACTTAAGGCCTATATACAAATATTTCCTGAACTTGACTGCTTGGCTAAACATGAATGTAAACATTCAAATGTTAGGGAACAAACAACTTCTAGGTCACTGCGCGTCACAACATAACAATACGGCGGCCCGTTTGTGTAATAATGCAATTTTAGTCGAAATTTCTTCGTCTTAAATGTAAATTTCGTCTCAAATGTAAATTTAAGTAATAAACAACAACGTAAAAAGTTCACTGGGAAATGAACTTTAAGTTGGTACGTGATCAAATCTACTGAGAAGCCCTTCAAGCTTCACAGGATTTGATCACGTGACCAACAAAAATATCATTTCCCAGAAAACTTTTTACATTGTTTCTTTCTTAAGTAAAATAGCTTTTTGTATAAATTGTGTTGAAAATTGGAAAATGCCTCATTTGTGTGAGTAAAATGAAGTTCTATTGAAATGTCTACTTTACAAATAAAATTCAGGCTTGCCCCCAGCTTTTCTATATTTGTCATTCTAAATAATACTTTTGAGAAATTAAAAAATAATTAAAAGTCACAAAGATAAACTGCAACTCACGACAAATTGTTTTAAAGTCTCTCTATTCACTGAGAGAGGAAAAGACAATGTTTTTGAAAGTAATGAATGGAATATGGAAGGAAATAATCAGTTTAATGGTTACCTGGGATATCAAAATATTGAACTTATATTGGTTAGTATTGGAACAAGTTGACTGTACAAATGCACGAGCTTGCGAGTGCATTTGTACAGCCAAAGAGTGCCAATATTCACTAATATAAGTTCAATAACTCCTTTATTATATAGCTAAAACATTTCCTCATAATTCATAATAATTATTTTTAATAAATAATTTCATTTTTGTGTAAAAAAAAAAAAAAATAAACACATCTTAATTACATGCCACTTCCTTTCTTTGATTTAGCTCTGAGAATTTGACCAGACGACTTTTTTTGTTTACAACAGGACATTCGATATTGAACGCTCGTTTTCGGAATGTTTCTGGCATACTCGTATACGCAATACAAACTCAGTGTTCAGTAAAACGTCAAGGTATTGAACGCTAAAATTCTCTAGATCTTTGGTAGTATTTTATTAGAGACTATTTATTAGCTATATAATAAAAATATTTATTTGAATTCTAACAGGATACTCTACATTTTCTCAAGACACAGAGAAATGTGATACTAGATATCACTAAAAGCAAAAAATAAGAAAATAAAAAATAAAAATTCTTTCCACTTCGCAGATTACGTAATGCTATCTTTTAGAATTAACGAAAAGAGTTAAGAATATTGCATTCTTGTAATTAAACGTACATTGTATGCTCTTATAAGTTAACGAGAGAGAGAGGGTTTTGTATATTTTTTGTATATGAAATGAAACTCCTTTTTCATTCACATAGAGAGC